GCAGTGGTCAGAGATTTAAGTCCTTATCAAGGAAGACCGCATACCTTGCAGCAGTGTTCATCCTGACCTATTAGTTGTTGTCAAAGTCACTGCGGCTTTGAAATTCTTTGCCTCTGGATCTTTCCAAAGATCAACTGTGGACCTTCAGGGTGATTTGCAAATAGGTATTCAGTGTTGCATCTTCTGAGTCTAAATTTAAAACCCTCCTTCCGTACAGATCACTCTCACGCCCAACATGAAATTCCATCATGTTGTGATCCATTTGTCAAAGGATAGTTTACAAGATTTTAATTAACCGTCTCACAACAGCACATTAAATCTAAAAAACTGCTTGTGCGTTCTAATTCTGTGCCTCCATTGCAAGAGGATTTCAGTTCAGAAGTATGGGTCTTTTACTGCAGTTTTGCAGGACCTTGGTGAGACTACACCAAAGTGCAGTTTTGATCTCCTGACGTAAGAAAGGATATATTTGCCAGAGGGAGTGCTGTGGAGGATCATAAAGCTGATACTGGGATGGTGAGCAGAGATTGGTGAATAAAGTCCCAGCCAAACCAGAGTTTAGAGTGGTGACAGCAATCTGATAGAAATGTATAAAATTTGAACAGCACTGGACAGACCAGACGCAGGGAGGATGTTTTCCCTGGCTGGGGAGTCTAGAACCAGGGGGCACAGTCTTAGGTTAGGGGTAGGCCATATAGGAATGAGATGAAAAATGTTTTCTCTCAAAGGATACTGAAACTGAGGAATTCTGTACCACAGAAGGCTGGTGAGACCAATTTATTGAATATATTCAAGGAAAAAGATACATATATCTATAGAGAAATCAGGAATATGGCATTGAGATAGATTATCAGCCCTGATCGTACTGAATGGTGAAGCAGGCTCAAAGGAGCGAATGGCCTATTCCTGCTCCTAATTTCTACGTTAATGCAATAGGTTCCAAATTGCTTAAATATTGAACAGACCACTTTTCATCTCTGGATTTTTGTCCAAGGCAAAAACATTGGACATCTATTTGGAACTGAGCACTGTCTAAACAAGCTAAATATGACCAGCTGACCAAAAATAACTGAAAAGGTAGGGGTGGCTACATAATTTATATCCATTTATACAATACTTCTCTACAAAATTAGTTTTTGCCCATTTATGTTTCCAGTATCACAGACCCGCACCTTGACCAGAAGCATGAACGGAGAAACTGCAAAATCTGCTGTAGTGCTCCCAACAAGGTCATGTGTAAACATCACAAAAGTCTCAACCTATCTTTGTGATGGAGCTATCCACCCCAAGACCATAGTTAAGGCTCGAAACAGGTAGGTTCAGATTTGGCCTCTGAGCAAGTGTCCATTTGCCATAAGGTGGCAGTACAGGCAAACTTTAGGAAATTTAGTTAAAATCTCAGACAATGTGAGTCAACAAAGCCTTCTGCACAACAAATAGATTTTGTTATTGTTTAAGAAATGCATTCAAAAAAACACTAGACACCAAGTAAGGCAAAATACATCAGCAATCATTGCACTGTTGAGCTGGATTATCAAATAGGGCAAGGATTGACTGTTCCTGCCAGCAGTTTCTTTGGCCATTTGTTCATCACAAATGTTTTGTGGGATGAACGGCCATTAGAATTCCTCATAAGCCTGATTGAATTGAGGACTCAAACTTGAAGTGCACTGAACTGTAAAATATAAAGTATAAAGTAGTACATAAGCACATTCTGGGATGATGATGAAGAGCATATCCATTTTGAAACACACTTCAAACAATATGCACTTAGCATAAACTCTTTTGGAATTTAGTTCGATGTATTTAACAGGAATTTTGTTTCCCTATTACCTTTGAGAAGAAATTAAGAACAAAAAGACTGCATCACTGCTGTGTTTTTTGGAGAGGCAAGATGTTACAGAGACTGATTTTGCTGCAGTCAAAAACTTTGAAGAGATAATGTCTGCTTTTAAATTATAGCTGTCCTCTCATCTTTCTTTTACTGCTGCTGTCATGGAGAAGGAGTGAGCTAGAGATCTAAGGATAGGGACACATGTAACAATTAGGTGGAAGACAGTCAGTTCCTGTCAATATGGTTTTTGCTCTTGTTCTTCTTCCCAACCCACACTAAGTGGCAATGACAAGTTTCACTGCATGTTGCAGTATCCCCATCACTGGCACGGTTGTAAAACAATATAACAAACCCCTGAGATAATAAGGTGTAGAGCTGGATGAACACAGCAGGCCAAGCAGCATCAGAGGAGCAGGAAAGCTGATGTTTCGGGTCTGGACCCCCCTCTCTCGATAACAAACCCCTTATCTCTGGAATCAATCTATTGAACCTCCTCTGAACTGCCTTCAATGCCACCACATGCTTCCTCAAATAAGAGGACCAAAACTGTGCACAATACTCCAGGTGCGGTCTCACCAATGCTTGTATAGTTGCAATAAAACTTCCTTAACTTTATATTCGATTCCTTTAGCTATAAAAGTCAATGCCTTCGTTATTGGGGAGGCAATGGCCTCGTGGTATTTTTGCTGGACTGTTAATCCAGAGACCTAGGTAATGTTCTGGGGACCTGGGTTCGAATCCCGCCATGGCAGATGTTGGAATTTGAATTCAATAAATATCTAGAATTAAGAGTCTAACAATGACTGTGAATCCATTGTCGATTGTTGGAAAAACCCATCTGGTTCACTAATGTCCTTTAGGGAAGGAAAATGCCATCCTTACCCGGTCTGGTCTACATGTGAGTCCAGACCCACAGCAATGTGGTTGACTCTTAACTGCCCTCTGGGCAATTAGGGATGGGCAATAAATGCTGCCTAGCCAGCAACTCCCTCATCCTGTTAATGAATTTAAAAAAAATCCATTTGTTTTATTTATTATCTGCTGTACCTGCATGCCAGTTTTCTGTGACTCATTGTGTTGTTGGTCAGCATTTCTTGCCCATCCCTAGCTGTGCTTGAGAAGGTGGGGGTGAGCTGCCTTCTTAAACCGCTGCAGTCCACATGCTGTAGGTTGACCCATAATGCCCTTAGGGAGGGAATTTCAGGATTTTGACCCAGTGACATTAAGGGAACGGCGATATATTTCCAAGTCAGGGTGGGAAGTGGCTTGGAGGGAACTTGCAGCAGGTGGTGTTCCCATTATCTGCTGCCCTTGTCTTTCTAGATGCTGTAGGTTTGGAAGGTACAATCTAAGGATCTTTGGTAAATTTCTGCAGCGCATCTTGTATATAGTACCCACTGCTGCTACTAAACATTGGCGGTAAAGGGAGTGGATGTTTGTGGATGCAGTGCCAATCAAGCGGGCTGCTTTGTTCTGGATAGTGTCAAGTTTCTTGAGCATTGTCAGAGCTACACTCATTCGGACAAGCAGAGAGTATTCCATCAAACTCCTGACTTATGTCTTGTAGATAGTGGACACGCTTTGGGAAGTCAGCAGGTGAGCTACTCACTGCAGGATTCCTAGCCTCTGACCTATTCTTGTAGCCATTGTATTTATACAGCTAGTTTAGCTCAGTTTGTCAAGGTCAAAAATCACACGACACCAGGTTATAGTCCGACGGGTTTATTTGAAAACAGTAGCTTTCAGGGCGTTACTCCTTCATCAGGTGTAGTGAGAGAGGCATTAAGACACAGAATTTATAAGTAAAAGATCAAAAAATCATACAACCTGGAGTCAGACTGGTTTTACTTCCAAAGCAGAAATTTATAAAATGCCCCATTGACTGACAGGGTCTACAAATCGTGTGCTTTTTGAACAAAATAGAATATCTGCAAATGCAAATTCACCCCATTGATCTGTTTGCGCGTGTGCCTGTATGCTTCACAATAATGCAGAGTCAACGAACAGAGGCTGATAGCCGAGTTCTGTACTCATGAGGATGGCCTCAACCTTGATCTTGGGTTCATGTCGCACTACAGGTGACCCCACCACACCATCTACTCTCACATACACATAGAGAGACAGACACATGCACACAGACATAAATTTATTGGGTGAATTTGCATTTGCAGATTTGTATTTGCAGATACATCCTATTTTGTTCAAAAAGCACACAATTTGTAGACACAATCAGTCTATGGGGCATTTTATAAATTCCTGCTTTGGAAATAAAACCAGTCTGACTCCAGGTTAAAACACAGACAGGTTCTAAACAAGGCCTCACACATCAAATGCATTGTCTGACCTGAGATGTCACCTCTTGTATACACCGATAAAATCTTTAGTTATCTCGGAGCAGTGACTGGAAAGAAATTCTGGGATTTGCATTTTAATCAATCAAAACCTGCATCTCCTTTCTAACTGATTAAAGATTTAATAGGAGGGAGTCAGCCAGTCATTATAGGTTTATTCAATACATTTGCATCAGTTGTATGATCTTTTACTTATAAATTGTGTCTTGATGCCTCTCTCACTACACCTGATGAAGGAGCAATGCTCAGAAAGCTTGCGTTTTCAAATAAACCTGTTGGGCTATAAACTGGTGTTGAGAGATTTTGGACCTTGTCTAACCCAGTCCAACACTGGTACCTCTATGTCATAGCTCAGTTTGTGGTCAATGGTAAACTCCAGATGCTCATAATGACACCATATTACATACACTCATTTAAGTTAAAAGGGCTGTTTTAGTATTCGTGTTTTCATCCCTCCTCAAACAATAAATTTAACATCTGCATCAGGTTTAGATATTGTACACTAAAGATCTAGAAATCAAATTATTTGAAGATTAAGCATGCACAGAATACTGCAGATCAACATAGAGAAATATATTTTTGAAAGCAGTTTCACCATCAATTACAAAGAGAACGGAACATTTCTCCCTTGGGCCCAAAGGGAAATCGCTCTATAGTTGTCCATCTTCCAACTGGTTTTTCATAGTTGATAAACCGGATCCAAATGAATATATTTTCTCAAATTGCATATACAAATCCAGACCAATACGTTCAAAATTAGCCGTTTGATTTCAAATATATAAAGAGTAGAATAGCCAAAAAAGAAACACACATACCACAGTCGTTTAGACTTGCCCGAATTGCTGCTTCTAATTGTTCCTCCTCAGTCAGTCCTCCTGTATAGTTTGTCCTGTAGTTTGAGGCATCATAACTAAAATTATTGTAACCAGAGTACCCTTGGGTTCACAAAAACAGACAAACTCCAATTAGGGCAATATATAGAGGGAAAAAAATAAAGCAAGCAGACATTACCCATTTCATTGTTTAACCCATGGTGTAATAAACAAATAGCTTTGACAATTCCAGATAAAGGGCATATTGGAGTATAGTAATTATGTAAACTAAAGCGGGTAAGCAAGTTACTGAAAAATCAACTGTTTTGCTGTTATTTGAGGCCCTGCTCTTCTTCAATGAATGGCATGGAATTGATCATGCCCAACTATGAAGGTAAATAGGTCCTTGGTTTGAGGTCCTCATCCAAATGCCAGGGCCCCTGATGATGCAGCACTCATTTGTGACAATCGGAGCTTGTGCTCAATTGACTGGAATGGGGCTTGAATTCTCAATCCTCTGACTCAACCAAGTGCGTTATCATTGAGTTACAGCTGACACCCTTTGTAAAGAATTAGAAATTTGTTGTAAAGATGTTCATGAAGTTCAGGCGAATTGAGAAGGAATTTCCTTTCAGAGACTGAAGGCTTCCTCCCAGTAAGTTGTCAGCTGCAGGGAAAACACTCCATTAATTGACTTGTTAATTCTACATTCTAGTTATATTCGGACAATATCAGATCAGATTGTTTTGGGTATGACAAAAAAAATGGAAAAAAGGAAGTGAAGAAAGCCACTATATTGCTAGGGCCTTTGGCTGTATGGTGAGATCATGGTTGATCTGCGACCCAACTCCATACATGTACCTTGGTCCTGTACACTAACATCCTTGGAGAACAAACATAGGATTTTCACCTTTGGCTCTGCACAGTTTCCAAAATTTAGTGCAAATCTTTATTAGAAATACTAATCAGGCAGAGTGAACCAAATGCATTCTTATTATCTCTTAGTGATATCTAGCTTGCAAAAACAAAGTCTATGTGTATTCTCTGTGGGACTCTTTGCAGGACTGCTTTCAGCAAATTCATTTAAATGACAACAACCAGCAAAGCACTTTAGAACGCGTACATTAAAACATGTTGGGATCTTGTGATGTACTGGTATTGGCCTTCTTTCTATTCCAGAAGGCTCAAGTTCACCCGCAACGGATGTCAATTTAACACACGTGAACAGGTTGCTCGACAATATCCAATAAAAATGTGCTGAAAACGAGTTCTACAAAGGGTCACCAAACTTGAAACATTAACTTTGCTTACTCTCTGCAGATGGTGCCAGACTTGACGAGTTTCTCCAGCAATTTCTGTTTGTGTTTCAGATTATTAACCTGCACACTCTGTTGTTTTTTTATTATAACTGAGGACAGATTGCTTGGCTGCTGATGAATCAGTTTTGTACACTGAGTGAGTAGTGTCTGGAGAGGGATAAAATACTTTTGGTAGTTGGAGTCTGCGCGGAGCACAGAGCAACAGTGAGACACCTGAGTTTGGTGACAAGTGGATTAGGTTGTGTAATCAGTTCCTGGATTATTATCTGTAGTTGGTAAGGTTCACAAAGGCAGGAGAATTTGGCACCATGGCATGCTCCTTCTGCAATTTGTGGGAAATCAGGGGCACTTCCAGTCTCCATGGTGACAGTGTACGCAGGAAGTGTGTTCAGCTCAGCTCCTGATTGACCACATGAAGCTCCTGGAGCTGCAGACAGACTCACTGTGGAGCATCCACGAGGCCGAGAATGTCGTGGATAGCATGTTTAGCGAGCTGGTCACACCACACCAGTAAGGGCGACACAGACAGGGAAGAGGAAGTATGGTCAGGCAGCGCAGGGGTCCCCTATGGGCACTCCCCTCTCAGACGCGGATACTGTTTCGGATATTATTGGGGGAATGGCCTGCCGGGGAAAGCAGCAACAGCCAGATCAGTGGTACCATGACGGGCTGTGTTGTACAGCAGGGAGGGTCAAAGTGTAGGTGAGCAGTAGTGATAGGGGACTTTATAGTTAGGGGCACAGATAGACGTTTCTGTGGATGCAAGTGAGACTCCACGATAGGGTGTTGGCTCCCTGGTGCCAGGGTCAAGGATGTCTCTGGGTGGGCACAGGGTATTCTGAATGGGGAGGGTGAACAGCCAGAGATTGTGGTTCACGTTGGTACCAACAACATAGGCAGGAAGAGCGATGAGGTTCTGCAAATGGAGTTCAGGGAGGAAGTTGAGAAACAGGACATCAAAGGTTATAATTTCAGGATTACATCCTGTGCCACTTGCCAGTGAGGCTGGGAATAGGAAGATAGTACGGGTAAATACGGGGCTAGACAGCTGGTGTAGGAGGGAGGGCTTCAGGAATGTTGATCATTGGGATGTCCTCTGGGGCAGGTGGGGCCTGTATAAGAAGGATGGGTTGCACCTAAACTGGAAGGGCACCAATATCTTGGCAGGGAGGTTTGCTAGTGCCAGGTGGGAGGGTTTAAACTAGTATGGCAGGGCGGTGGGAACAAGAGCAGTAGGTCAGCAAGTGAAATGACCAAGGAGGAGTCAGAGACTAAGGCCAATAAGGGTAAGAGGGCATACAGACAGGGAGAGGTTACTGATCACAGTGGGACTGGTGGTCTGAGGTGTATGCGTTTTAAGGCAAGGAGTATGACAGGGAAAGCAGATGAATGTGGAGCTTGGATTAATATGTATAACTATGATGCTGTAGCCATTACAGAGACTTGGTTGAGAGACAGACAAGTGTGGCAGTTTAACCAGTTCTGGGATTTAGATGTTTCAGGTGGGATAGAGAGGGATGTAAAGAGGTGGGGGAGTGCTGTTACTGATTAGGGAGAATATTACAGCTGTACTGAGGGAGGGCATCTTGGAGGGTTCATCCAGCAGGGCAATATGGGTAGAGCGCAGGAATAGGAGGCGTGCAATAACTTTCATAGAATTGTACCACAGGCTTCCCAACAACCAGCAAGTGATAGAGGGACAGATATGTGGACAGATTATGGAAAAATGTAAAGGCAACAAGATTGTTGTGGTCGGTGATTTTAACTCGCCCTATATTGACAAGGACTCACTTAATGCCAGGGGCTTGGATTGGGGGGAACTTGTTAGGTGTGTCCAGGATGGTTTTTTGAAACAGTACATACATTGTCCATCTAAGGAAGGGGCCCATACTAGACTTGGTATTGGAGAATGAGCCTGGCAGGTGATCGAAGTTTCAGTATTTTGGGAACAGTGACCGTAATTCTGTAACTTTGAAGTTATTTATGGATAACTGTAGCTCTCAGGTGAAAATATTAAATTGGGGGAAGGCTAACTACACAATATTAGGCAGGAACTGGGGAGTGTAGATTGGGGGCAGCTGATAGAGGGTAAATCCACATTTGTCACTTGGAAATCTTTTAAAGGCCTTTTGTTTAGATTTGGACAAGCATGTTCTTGTGACGATGAAGGATAGGATGACAAGAGAAATTGGGAGTAGTCAAAATGAAAAAGGAAGCATACGTAAGGTTTATGGAGCTGAAGCTAGACAGAATCCTCAAAGAATACAAAGATAGCAGAAAAGAACTCAAACAAGGAATTAGAAGGGTTAAAAGGGCCATGAAATGCCTTGGGCAAACCGGTTTAAGGAAAATCGTAAGGCGTTTTATCCATATATAAAAAGCAAGAGTGTAGCTAAAGAAAGGGTAGGTTCACTCAAGGGAATCTATGCATAGAGAGGAGGAACTGGGTGAGATCCTTAATGAATATTTTGCGCAGGTATTCACAACAGAGAAAGACATGGTGGATGGTGAGTCGCAGGAGGAGTATGTTGATATTCTCAGGCATGTCAATACTAAAAAGGTGGTGGTAGTGGGTATTTTAAAAAGCATTAAGATTGACAAGTCCCCAGGACCTGATGGGATCTATCCCAGAATGCTGAGGGAGGCAGGTGAGAAAATTGCTAGGGCCTTGTACAAAATCTTTGGATCCTCTTTAGTGAAAAGAGAGGTCCCAGAGAACTCAAGAATAGCCAACCTTGTTCCTTTGTTTAAGAAGGGCAACAGGGATAATCCAGGATATTACAGACCAGTGAGCCTTATGTCAGTGGTAGGGAAATTATTGGAGAAGATTCTTCAGGATAGGATTTACTCACATTTGGAAAAATATGAATTTATTCGTAACTGGCAGCATGGCTTTGTGTGGGAAGGGTCATGTCTCACAAACTTGATTGAGTTTTTTCAGGAAGTGGCAAAGATGAGGGCAAGGTGGTAGATGTTGTCTATATGGACTTTAGCAAGGCCTTTGGCAACGTCCCTCATGGCAGGCTGATACAAAGGGGAAGTCACATGGAATCTGCAGTGAGCTGGTAAGATGGATACAGAACTGGCTTTGTCACAGAAGACAAAGTAGTAGTGGAAGGGTGTTTTTTTCCTGACTAGAGATCTGTGACCAGTCATGTTCCTCAGGGATCAGTGCTGGGATCCCTGTTCTTGGTTTTGGAGAATGTCAGTGACCTGATTAGTAAGTTTCTACATGCCACAAAGATTGGGGAACTGCAGATAATGAGGAGGACTACCAGAGGATACAGCAGGATATAGACAGGCTGGAGACTTGGGCAGAGAAATGACAGATGTATATCGAACTCGATATACAAACCACTGAAAAACAGAAGAGGAAGTAATACCAACCACCCCAGCAAACTGAGGCATATAAATAACAAGTGGGATGGAACACCAGCGCTTCACTGGAGGCATGCTGACAATATTATCTAGCAGAGTGACAGAACGTCTGCAATCAAACACACCGGCTCAGCGAGCAAGTCTACAACCTCACAGATACTTTTTTTTTCCCCAGGATATAAATATCAATTACTAGATGGCACTGGTTTAAGGTAAAAGGATGTAAGTTTAAAGGAGATGAGAGAGGCAGGCTTTTTTTTTTATTACACAGAGGGTGGTAAGTGCCTGGAATGCACTGCCAGAGGAGGAGGTGGAGGTAGATACAACAGCAACGTTTAAGATGCATCTTGAGACATACATGAATAGGCAGGAAATAGAGGGATACAAGCCACTCAGAGGCAAAAGGATTTTAGTTTAAAAAAGCATCGTGT